TGGAAGTGAAAAGCATCCCCCTCTAGGAGGAGAGCGCCACTCTCTCTCCTTCTCCCCCATACACACACGCATACACAGCCAGAAATAAATTGCCACAAAATAAATTGCCACACGGAGTGCGTGCGAGTGAGGGCGCCCAGCCTGCCAGAGCCAGCGGAATGAATGAGCCGCAGCATGAATGGGGAGCGGCTGTCTGCAAACAGGCTGCGTGCCTGCGCTACAACTGCAGGCGCGCCACCGCGGTCAAAGGCGAGGGGGCTGCGGCTGAGCGGCTGCCAGCAAGAGGGCGAGCTGGTGGGGGCAGGGGCTGCAGGCACTGTTGGTGACTGTCAAACTCGCGTCCTCAGAGGGAAGGCTGGTAACTCAGAGCTTCTCGACACAGCCTTCCCGGGCTCTGCCTGTCATGCCTTCTGCACCCCTCTCCAGGAGAGATTGTTCCTCTCCCCTTCTTGGAGCCACAGTAGAGTGCCTGGCTGGGATGGTTCATAGCAATGAGCCCTGCACCCGTACCAGCGAGGCACCTCTTGCGTGGGAGTTAGGCTTAAAGGCAGTGTGTGACACATAGTCAGCATTACCTTCAATACTCCTTAGAAAGGTGCCCCCAAGGAGCCCAGCACACGGCCCAGGGAGAAACCAACACAGGCATCATTTCCTCTGGTGTGGCAACAGATCCCTGTTTCCTTGGTTGAGTACCAGATGAAGTTGCTGGCTTGCTTTCAGGGCCGTGATGTATGAAAAACATATATATCTTTAAACACTTTGGAATCACAGTGAGATGAGATGCTCACACAGTGAAAGGCGTGTAGGAGTGGGACCAGCTCTGGGAAGAGCAGAATCACATCTCCTGTTATGTGCTCACCCCTATTTAAATCATTGTTTCCCTCTCTTTCCCCAGTGCTCGGTGTTTAATTCAGGTGCCTATAATGTGGGCCCACTGCATGGCACTTTAGAGGTCGCAAAATGCTTTTGTGCCCATTGATGCACTAGACCTCCAAAGGAATGCTGAGAAATAGAGCGGGGATCATTGTTCCCATTCAGCAGTTGAGGAAACGGAGGCCCAACGCGGTTAGGAGCACATTAGGAATAAGTAGCACACCCTGCTCTCTCCAATGACTCCTATGGGTTCACCTCTCGGCCCCCAGGTGAAGCCCTGGAGAGTGCTCTTTATTTTCTCTATAAGACCCATGCCATAAACCTTAAGCAACACATGAATTCCGGCTTGTCACTGCAGCAGGAGTGATTTGGTTAAACCTGACTGTGGGTTTGCACCTAAAATAAAATAAACTGGAGCAGCAATTGAAAAACCTTCCTCAGTCATTTTGTGGACAGAAATTGGTGTGCAGGGTTTGCCTTTGACATGCAGGATAATGGGGGGTCTGGTGAATGGAGTGGATGATCCCTGGAGTTTCTTCCAGCCAGATGTCTCTGGGAGCCTTAAGGGTCCAGAGCCTGGGCTTTGGCAAGCTGATGAGCCACTTAGGTTGCAATCCATGAACTGGAAATGAGTTCTGACAACCACGCAGACCAGCCTTCCACCTGTGACACCCTG